GCCGCACTCACCGTGCAGGGCAACCTGGCCGCGTGGCCTCCGCCCGCAGAGCTGCAGGCCTGGAGCGAGTCGGCGGCTGCTCCTGTGGTGCCGGCCTGACTGCAGTGAGCGCCCCGGTCCGCTGAGACAGCTGTGTCGCTGCTTCTCTCCTAACTTGTCCCCCAGGCATTGATCCCTACCCAACCAAAATTACCCGGAAAGCCTTGTCTCTTACTGATAAAGCAAAGACTGTTTTAGCTTTCCTTCCTCCCCCTCTGTGAAGGATCTATGCACCACACAGAAAAGTTCTCTGGGCAGTACATCTCGGGGCTGCTGCTCCTGATGGCCTTTCTGTTTAGGAACCACAGTCAGAGTGCAAAGTTGAGTTCTCCTCCTGAGGTCAACGCAGAGGACTGGTCCATTTAAGGAGAGGTCCTGGAATGATCACCAGCAGCCTCGCGGGAGAGAATCGCTGTGCTTTCCTCAGGCCCGGTTCCCTTTATTATGGTCATTTCAGTCAGTCTGAAATTTCAGTCAGTCTGATGAGGAAAGCTCCACACAGCACAGACAGAGCTCTCTCTCCACCGACTCACCCAGAAGCCTCCCGCTGGCTCCCGTTGTCCACCACCCAAAGGCCAGGAGCTCTAATCTCAAACAGCGCGTACGTGTGAGTGTTTAAGTGTGTGTGTGTGTGTGTGTGTGTGTGTGTGTGTGCGCGCGCGCGCGCTTGCACCGGCAAGCTAACCTGAAGGACAAAACCGTTGAGTTCTAGAAAGAGATGACTTAAACCTAAGTAAACTTATTTACCAACTACTTAGACAAAAATATAAGCTCAGCAGCAACAAGGAAATGTATATTGTGTCATAAATCCAGCGGGCAGGGATGGCTTTTCGCCAACTCTGTGATCCATTAACCTCTTTAGCTCTTTGTAGGCAACAATAGCACACACTCACATTGTTATGTTTGAAAGACAAGGTTTTTCTTCCCCCATTCCAAAATCACAATATCACATTATCGTCTAAAAGAAACCTCAAACAATAAAGTAATAAGAAAGGAAGAAACACAATTTGCCTTTTTTTCCCTGAATAAATGTTGCTGTTCTGTTTTTCTGTAGGAGAAAAAAAAATTGCTGATAAGCAGGAAAGTCCACAAAGACATAACGATAGATTTGGAAGTATGCTTTACTCAGTCTTTCAATTGACAAACTATTTAAAAGTATTATAATTTTATGGGTATTCATCATTTCTATGAGCCAGTGAGATTTCTGAGGAGGAGTAGCAGGGTGGTAAGATGGTCTGGCTTCTCACGGTTCCATCTCCCAGCACGTTGGCTTCAGGAGGAGAAGGACGATCCAGGAGCTGTGCGTCTCAGCTCCTCCTCAGAGGACCACAGTCCCTCATTTCTGTCTCCTCCTGCAGATTCCCTGTGGGACCAGGAGGGCGGAGCCCAGAACTGTGAAGCCCAGATAGGGAGTGAGCTCTTCACCACCCCAGGGCTGGAGGATGGGTTAGGGCCTAGGGCTCTGCAGGGCCCGGGTGATCTAAGCACAGAGGGAGGTGAAGGGGCCCTGGCACTGGAGTAGAAGCACACCAAGTTAAACAAACACAACTCAACACTGAACTGGCATGTCCAAAAATATTTTTAAAATACAGCTTTGAAAACCGTCACAGCTTCAACGGTTTGGTTTAGCCGCCAAAGCCAAATAAAGTGCTCAGTAACAAACACATTTGGTTAATTGCAGTGCTCCTTGGGCAAAGAATTATTTGTTTTCCTGAACTGCACCACACTCTCTGGTCTCTAAAGATGTGACTATTAAATACTGTTCAGTTTGCAGTTCCAGAAGGAGACTGCCCTTTCTGCCCACTGGAATGTCGGTCGGTATTGGGAAATGGAGGACAACTCACTTCTTTCCAGGCTTTCTTTTGATTAGCCAATCCCTGACATCTAGTTTAGTTGGCTCAGGGAACATTTGTTGGAAGAACCCTTCTACATGTAAGCCATTGGAAATCCAAAGGTGAATGAAAAGGCCTCCATTAAACAAGGTCAGGACTGTCAGGTACGGACATAGGGGGTTAGGGACTCTGCTCCCATTAGACCAGAAGCCTCTGTGGTCATAGCTTTGTGTCCTTACTAACTGAAGCTCTCGCATAAGAGAAGTCATTTCAGTATTGTGCCATGCCATACTCAGCCCCAGAACGCCTTAAAGTGTCAGGCCACACTTAATTTTGTGGGGAACATTTCTCACGAGCTGATGGGTCCCCAGACTGGTGTTACAGACTCTAAGGAGGTGTGAAGGAGATTCACCTCTCTCTAGATCCAGACAAGCACTGGCTAACAGCAGTACAGTCCGAGGTAAGGACGTTTGCCACATACATAATTTTAAGTACTCTAAAATCTCCTTACTACTAAGAAACAAGTGAAGTTAATTTTAACTATGCATTTTACTAGATCAGTATATTTTAAATATTCTCATTTCAATATGTGATCAATATGAAATTATTTAGAAAACATTTTACATTTTTTCTTCCTGCACTAGGCAGAATAGCTCCCTAACACATGCACATTTTTTTTTTTTTTTTGGTACTGGGATTGAACTCAGGACCTTGCACTTACAAGGCAGGCGGTGGCACCACTAAACTAAATCCCTGGCACAATGAACATTTTTTTTTCTCTCATTGAGTTTATTGGTACATTTTAGGTATACAATACAGTTACACTCATCATTGGGATCTTCTACTTTTACGTGACAGGTCTTGGTTCTCATTTTTTCCCCTTACCCCTGCCCTCCCTTCCCCTCCCTTCCCCTCCCTATTTACAAATACTTTATTTCCATTTTCTCATTTCCTTTTTTCTTTTCCCTTATTATCTTTCCCCTACCCTTCCCACTTTCCCTACACCTTTAGCCCCTTTCTTCCTATTTCATATTGTCCATTATATCATTAGGATCTTATGTACTATTATAGTTTTTTCACACCAGAGAAAGTATTCGGCATTTACACGTGTGACTTATTTATTTCACTTAGGAGTACATCCTCAATATATATCCATTTTCCTATGAATGACTCTAATTTCTCATTCTTTATGGCTGATATGTGGAATTGCCTGGTAAAGGATTTGACAATTGTGACTGAGGTTACAGAGCTTACAATTTAATTGAACAAGCTCTTTTTTGTTAAATAGTTAAGCAATAGTTTTTGTATTATTAAATTTAACTAGTTAAAACTGAACATTGCATGTCATAATGAAAAGCCAATACTTTTGTCTGGAGCAAAAAAACCTACGCCAACATGTATTGGAAATATTTGCGATTGACGTACTGTAGTAGCACATGTTTCAAGAAGTGCTTAGTCACATCCAGGCATGAGCATGTGAACATAAGACACCTTGTAAACACATGATTAAAATGATTCCTCCTGATTTGCTCTATTCCCAACATTGAGGGCAAGTCACTTTACAGCATTAAACTCCAGCATGCAGAGCACTTAGAGTCAGGAGGTTTAAAGTATGTGTGTGACACACCTATGGGAAACCTTCCCATCTCATGTGTGCAGATTGCTTCTCCTACACGCAAACATCTCTTCATTTTAACTTTTAAGTTATCAGGCTTCGGAAATCAGTACATCAGCATTCAGAGGCTTATGTTATGTTAGCAGGACTGATTTACTGCATATATCTATATCTATCTATCTATCTATCTATGATCCATACACTTGTTATATAGTTCTATGACATGTAGCTACTATATGTGCACTTCAAATCATTTCTTTCACTGGTACCATGATACCATAACCTAAGTTCTGCATCATTATGCTGTCCTCAGTAACAAACAGTGGGTTCACTTGGCACAAATAACTACGTGGAACAGCACATCTCTGCAACTAAAGTGACTTTTAAAATTTCCTGTTCAATATGGAATTTTAATTTCAGAATTCACCTTAAACTGCGTGATTGGGTTACCACTCACATATGGTCTGCAATAGACCAGCATGCCTCACTTCGCACGTGCTGGCTCTCCTGCATCACCCTCTGTCATGGGAGAGACCTGATGACTAAGATTCAAATATCCAGAGTAGATATTGACCTTCGGAATCCATAAGATGATTCGACAAATTTGTCACCAGGCATAAGAAAAGCTCCTCTAGTTGAGTAAGATGAATGGGGTCCTTGTGATCTAAACCAGTGACAGAGTCCCCTGTCTCCAGTCCTGCTGTGGCTTCTTCACAGTGGGATGTTGTCTTCTGCCTGTCTTCCCCATCTTGTCAACATGAAAGCACCCAGCCACCCTCTCTTCTGCTCTCTTCATTGCATTGTAGTTTTCCCACTTTCCCCAGGGCCAACCTGTGCCCTGCTCTCTTACTCCATGCATGGAGACTGAATTAGCTGAACTGTTCAAGGCCCTGTCTTGATAAGTTCCTGTTTGTATTCCAGTAAGTCAGCAGGTGGGACATCATTCTACTCCTCCATTCTTAGCACCTCAACTTTTTTTCTCCATCACATATCACACCCTTTTGTGGAGCTAGTTTTCTTGTTACACAATTATATAAACCTCCTGAGGCTACAGAGGCCAAGGCATGACATCTTTACCTTTCTTTCCTTTATATCTTTCTTCCTCCTCAAGAAAAACATACCAAGGATGCCATGGGGGAGTCAAAACCACTCCGGCTTCATTTTCCTTAACTGCTTGTTTTCTTCTTTTGTCACTTTCTTTGCATTGGAGAGCATAAGCATGAAAAGTCTGGCTAACCTTTTCTTCCGTAGTTGGATTCTTGTCAAAGTAGCACTTATAGGGCAGTTTCCTATACACCTTCTTAAACTTCTCCTGAGTGGCAGTGGATTTTGCCCCCAGGACGTCATGGAGTGGCCTCTTTCACCAGTTTCTGCAGTTCATGAGTAGTGGCTGGTTTGGGACACCATTCCTGGGCCTCTAGTGGGCATTCTAGAAAGTTCTCTCCCAGGAGTTCTTGTCTGCAGATTTACTTCAACAGGAAGCAAAAGAGATGTGACAGGAGAAACATTGTCACATGAGCAGTCACAGATCGAAGCGTATGAAGGATTCGACCTGTCCCTATTGATTTGAAGATGAAGATAACGGTGTAAAGAGGAGGAGAGCAGGTTGCGTCGGGAGCTGAGGGAGGCCTCTGGCTGATAACCAGCAAACAGAATCACCTGCCCTACAACGCAAAGGGCTGAATTCCACGGACAACCTGAATGAGGCGGAGGCCTACCCATCTCCCAAGCCTCTAGAAGAAGGAAGAAGCCCTGGACACCTGGCTTTTGGCTTTTGAGACTCAGCTCAGCCATGCTCCAGGACTTCTGACTCACAGAACTGTGACAGAATGAAG